CCTTATGGTAATTGACAAAACAGGCATTAATGTGAATAAGAGGCGAGACTAAAATTGCTGAAACATCATACATGAGTCTCCTTGCATATGAAGGACATGCATTGCTTAATCTTTTCACTCTTGACCAAAATGCTGAATCTAACATCTAAAAGAATCTAGCAGTGTCATGATCAGAGTGCATACATTTAAGTAGTTTGTGGATGGTAGAGAAATATTAGGATGAGATACAATATGCAATTATCTGCGAGAAAATTCCTATTGTACTAATCTGTGTAGTGTTAGAGGTCATTCTTCTCTGTTGGTTTAATTTTGCAACTAGAGGAGGAATTCTAAGAAGAGACCAGTAAATAGACAAGAGTAATCTGTGAATGCTTGGCTAATGAGAGCAGAACTGCAACATCTTTCACTGCTTCGTCAATTTTTTCCTCTTGTTTTTGATAAACACTGTGAGGCTTCATAAGGAACTGAGAATGGTGAGGATAGAGCCGAAGCTTGATATACCAACTGTTTTAGGTTGTAAGAGTAGTAAATCAGTAATTTAATATCCTTTTTTGGCAGTAATTCATTGATTTTCTTGGTGCTTTACTTTTGATATATTTAAGAACCTGCTTTACGTTTTCGTATACAGTCTTTGAAGCATATCTCCCGTTGTGTATATTTTAACCTAGTTGATTGAAGGGAAAGTAAAACTTCTGGTGCTTTGCACCAATGACGGATTAGTTATTTCTTGGAGTGGTAAAAGTGCTCTCTTTTTCACTCTTCTTGTACCACAAAATGCTGGCATGCAAAGATTGCTGTTTGGATTTTTTATTACTCTTAACTTAGCAATGTTATTCCCCACTCTTGTTCATCTGGTCTCATTCATTTCATGTTGTAGAGCCACAAGGAACCCTGAAGATCTCCCATGACTATTTGGCAAGTTCGTACCATTCTGGTATCTTATCTGGGTTTATATTGGTATCATCATATTTGGAAAAGGTGTCCTCCATGGGAAGAACGGTAAATCCTGCCAATACTGATTATCACTTTCCCTAATTTTGAAGTAGCTGGTGATAACAGTCCAGAGAGCTGGACTCCCATTTCTACTTTGATAGCAATTTCTACTTCTTTAGGAGGCAGTTTTATGCATACTTTTAGTCTTCTTATGCATGACTGTCAACTATAGCGCAGTCTATGCTTTGGACTAAAGTGCATAAGATCATCTTTTTCCTGATATTTTCTTGCAGATTTAAAAATCTATTAAATGTTTGATCTTTATTCCTCAGGTTAGAGCAGTGGTTATAGGTCTTGGAGCAGGTCTACTTCCTATGTTTCTTCACGGGACTATGCCCTTCATACATGTTGAGGTGAACAAAGGCTCATTCTCGTTTATTATGCTGGTATGGCTCTGTAGTACTGGTAATAACAGAATTTTGTTGTGCATACAGGTAGTAGAGTTGGATCCCCTTGTCTTTAGTCTTGCAAGGGAGTACTTTGATTTCATTGAAAATGATCGGATGAAGGTAATTCATCTCCATGAACATTTTCTTGTTATTCAGTTGTTCACTTTTCTTTGAGACATTGCGCTCTTCTCTACTTCACGTCCCACACATAGTATTTTGTCTGTTGGTATACATAGAAGAGAGTGATGGAAGGGTAATAAACTATATCTCCAAGTTGTGATGAACAAAACCTTCGATTGTTTTTTATTTTGTTCTTTTTTTGGGAATTAAGTGTTTATGATAAAAAATTTCCGTAACAATGTGAGTTGGTTTTTACTTGCTAAACGACTTTTGCTTCAATAATAAGATGGTAATGTGTTTCTAGTGGTTGTCTCTTGAAGAGAAACAACTGCCTGCTTGATTTTCAGTTTTCTTTTATTACAAGGTGTAGAAATTTAGGAGAAATTGTTCTAAGTTTTATTCTCCAGAAAGGGCTACGAAATTACATGAGGCCTCTGGCCTTTTATAGCTGCTCGTCCAGCTAATTATTTTGTGCTAACTACCGAAGCAAAAAGCCAGATATACTAGCCATAAATCTGGTTAGTATCTGTTGGTTTAAAAAAAAATTATCAGCACCCTAAAACTTAGGAAACAAATTCCTAAAAGCTAACAAACAAAATCCTGAAAATCTGGAAACAAAATAATCGAACTTCTACTACTAACTAAAATATCCGGATCTGGTTTTCAACACTCCCCCTCAAGCTGGGTTATGAATGTCTATCATACCCAGCTTGCACCTTAGAGTCTCGAAACTATTTCTGGATAAAACCTTGGTCAGTATATCCGCTGTTTGATGATTGGTTGGAACATACAAGAGCTTCAATAGTCCTTCATCAAGTTTTTCTTTGATGAAATGTCGATCGATCTCCACATGTTTTGTTCTATCATGATGAACCGGGTTCTTGGCAATCTCAATAGCAGCTTTGTTGTCACATAATAATAACATAGGATCGGTATTAGTGAATCCTAGTTCATTTAAGACTCTTCTCAGCCACATGCCTTCACATATTCCTTGACACATTGCTCTAAACTCCGCTTCAGCGCTGCTCCTAGCAACAACGGGTTGCTTCTTGCTTCTCCAAGTAACCATGTTGCCCCATACAAAGGTACAATACCCTGTTGTTGACCTTCGGTCCGTGAGAGATCCAGCCCAATCTGCATCCGTGAAAATCTCCACGTTTCTCTCCTCTGTTTTCTTAAAGTAAAGCCCTCTTCCGGACTTCTCTTCGTGATCGTAAGATACGAAAACTGCCGCAGTGCTTCTCTCGTTGGTTGGTTCATGTATCTACTAACCATACTTACTGCGAAACCAATGTCTGGCCGAGTATGTGAGAGATATATTAATTTGCCAACTAATCTTTGATATCTCCCTTTGTCCGTTAATGGTCCTTCTTCTTCCATCTCAGTTTTATAGGTAGAATCCATGGGGTTGTCAGCTGGTTTACACCCAAGCATACCGGTTTCCTTCAAGAGATCAAGAGTATACTTACGTTGGGAAATTGCAATCCCTTTCCGTGACCGAGCTACCTCCATACCTAGGAAGTACTTGAGTTGACCTAGGTCTTTAACTTCGAATTCTTGTGCCAAGATATTCTTCAGTTTTCCAATCTCCTCCAGATTGTCACCAGTTAGGATTATGTCATCGACGTATACGATCATTATTGCTCTTCTACCTTCATCTGACTTCTTGACAAACATTGTATGATCTGTTTGACATTGAGTGAAGTTCAGCTTCTCAACGACCCTTGTTAACCTCTCGAACCAAGCACGAGGTGATTGCTTTAGGCCGTATAGGGATTTCTTGAGTTTGCACACCTTGTTGAAGCTCTCTTTAGTGTCAATTCCAGGTGGGACCTCCATAAAGACTTCTTCCTCCAATTCCCCATTTAAGAAGGCATTCTTTATGTGTAATTGCTGTAGGGGCCAGTCCAAGTTAGCTGCAAAAGAGAGCAACACTCGGATGGAGTTTAATTTGGCCACCGGAGCGAAGGTTTCTTCGTAGTCTATTCCATATGATTGTGTGAATCCCTTAGCGACCAGCCTTGCCTTGAAACGATCAACACTACCATCGGCGTTGTGCTTAACTGTAAAGACCCACTTACATCCCACCAATTTCTTCCCAAGGCAATTCTGTATATTCCCAAGTCTTATTCTTCTCAAGTGCATGAATTTCCTCAAGAACCGCTCTTTTCCACTCAGATTGAGCAAGTGCCTCATGGATATTCTTGGGAATTTGAATGTCGCTCAACGTTGAAACAAATGCCTTGTATTTCGGAGACAACTTTTCGTAAGACACAAAGTTGTTAATGGGATGTTGAGTGCACTGTCTCTTCCCCTTCCTAAGAGCAATAGGCTGATTAAGATCATCAAGTACAGCAGAATTTTCTGAGTTTGCAGAAGTATTACCTTCATCGACTGTGGGTCTTGAACTCGGATCTGTCTCTTGAGCCGGCCTTGATGTAGTACGGTTCTCCAACTCCTTTTGAGTCTTTCGCCTAGAATAGACAATTACCTCTTTATTTTTGTCTTGTGTAGCATCTTGAATGGGTAGACACGAAAGACTTTCGGATGTTGGATGACTCTCGGATGTTGGAATGGGTAGATACGGAAGACAAGGAGAATTTGTTTGTTGTGACCCGAATGACTGAGAAGTGTCCCAAAAATAATATTCCTCACAACTCTCCCCCTGAATGATATTTTTGGAGTGAAAGGGCTGGTGCTCAAAGAAGGTAACATCCATGGTGGTATAAAAACGCTTTGTTTGTGGGCAATAACACTTATATCCACTTTGATTTGGAGCGTATCCTAGAAACACACATTTGAGGGACTTAGGATCTAGCTTGCTGCGATGTTGCTGATTTATATGAACAAATGTTGTGCAGCCGAATACTTTGAGTGGGATATGTGAGGCAAAACGAATATGTGGGTAGGTATGAAGTAGCCTTTGAAATGGCGTTCGGAAATCTAGAACACGGGAAGGCATACGATTGATGAGATATGTGGCTGTTAACACTGCTTCTCCCCAAAAATGTTTAGGAACATGAGTGGCTATCATAAGAGAACGGGCGACTTCCAAAAGATGCCTATTTTTTCTCTCCGCCACTCCATTTTGTTGTGGAGTTTCTACACAAGAGCTAATATGTATGATACCTTGGCTATTTAGATATGACCCGAGCTGTGAGTGAAAGTATTCTCTCCCATTATCCGTTTTGAAAACTTGGATTTTTGTGCTGAATTGGGTTTGGATCATTTGGTTGAAGGTTTGAAAAATTCGGCCAATATCTGATTTTTCTTTCATCAGAAAAAGCCAAGTGAGTCTTGTGTGATCATCAATGAAGGTAACAAACCACCTAGAACCAGTAATATTATTGACACGAGAAGGTCCCCAAATATCACTATGAATCATGTGAAATGGATGAGAAGACTTATAAGGTTGCAAAGGGTATGAACTGCGAGTATGTTTGGATAATTGACACACCTCACATTGAAATTTTATTGAATCTTTATTAAACAAAGAAGGTAGCAACCTTTTTAAGTACGAGAAATTTGGATGACCTAACCTATAGTGCCACAATCTTACTTCACTCTCTTCCTTAGCACGAGATGCTACACATGACATCTTCTTGTTTTTCCATTCTGAGGCATTAACTCGCAGAAGGTAGAGGCCCGCATCCATCTCAGCACTGCCAATCGTCATCCCCGAGTTCAAAACCTGAAATTCACATGAGTGTGGGAAAAATTTAGTAGTGCAGCCTAAATCTTTGGTTAACTTGCTGATGGAGAGAAGATTATAGCTGAGTTTGGGAATAAATAATACTGAATTCAGTGTTATATCTTTTGAAATAACCACTGATCCAATACCAGCCACCTTTGAGCAAGAACCATCAGCAATTCGAACGCTAGTGCCGTTTTGACATGGATTGTACTCGTTGAACACTGTGATATCTCCGGTCATGTGGTCGGATGCTCCCGAGTCTACAACCCAAGAGGTGATTTTCTCCTGTTTAGCACTAAAGGCATTTAGAGAATTACCTCGTTGAGCTATTGTTGCTGTACTAACCCCTTCTGAACGGGTTGCCTTCTGAACTGATTCCTGTAGCAGCTTTTTCAGCATCTCCAGTTGCTCTTTGTTGAAGGGACTCAAATCTACCGAAGCGTTTGTTTCGGTTTGGACTATGTTGCTTCTGCTCTCCCGGTCTTGAGTAGGACGTGAGGCTGATGGCTTCCAATCATCTGGCCGACCATGAAGTTTCCAGCATGTGTCTTTTGTGTGACCTGTCCGTTTGCAATGATCACACCACGGACGACCACCCTTTCGCTGGTTGTTGTTGTTTGATTGAGTGCCTCGACTGTAGGATGGTTGAGATCCTCGGGCTATTAAGGCAGAATTTTCTGGATTGGTTTGGTTTTTTGAACAACCAAGCATCACCTTTCGCCGAGTCTCTTCTCTCCTGACCTCCGCAAAAACTTCTCGTACATTAGGTAGGGGCTTTATGCTCAAAACTCGTCCACGTACCTCGTCAAGCTCTTGATTCAAGCCTAACAGAAATTTATAGATGCGTTCTCGATCTTGAATCTGCTTGTACCGCTTGCTATCTTCAGGACAACTCCACATCATATCTTCCAGCATGTCAAGTTGCTGCCAATGACGCATGAGTTGGTTAAAATAATCGTGATCGAAGATTCCCTTGCCTTAGATCATGAAGAATGCCCTTAATCTCGAAGATGGCTGAGGTGTTATCTTTGTTGGAATAAGTTTCATGAACAGCATCCCAAATCTCCTTAGCTGTTTGGTAATACATGAAATTCTCCCCTGTTTCATTCGTCATTGAATTCAGCAGCCAGGACATCACCATGTTATTTTCCACCTTCCATGTTCGATAGTTTGGGCTTGTCGCCTCAGGTTGTACGGCAACTCCAGTTAGGTAATCTTCTTTACCTTTTCCGCAAACGAAAATCATGACAGAATGGGACCATTGATTGAAGTTGTGACCGGTAAGTTTATGACCGGTGATGAGAAGAGTTCCCCCTTCGGATACATTGATAGGTTGGGTAATCAAAGGAGAGTTCTGAGCTTTAGGGTCTGAGGTTTCACTCTCAACCTCGCTTGCCATGGTGGCTCTAGGGTATTTTGTCATGGTGGAAACACTCAGAGATGTGGTAGAAAAGAATGGTCCAGATCGAGCTCTGATACCATGTAGAAATTTAGGAGAAATTGTTCTAAGTTTTATTCTCCAGAAAGGGCTACGAAATTACATGAGGCCTCTGGCCTTTTATAGCTGCTCGTCCAGCTAATTATTTTGTGCTAACTACCGAAGCAAAAAGCCAGATATACTAGCCATAAATCTGGTTAGTATCTGCTGGTTTAAAAAAAAATTATCAGCACCCTAAAACTTAGGAAACAAATTCCTAAAAGCTAACAAACAAAATCCTGAAAATCTGGAAACAAAATAATCGAACTTCTACTACTAACTAAAATATCCGGATCTGGTTTTCAACACAAGGCAACAGGAAGTGTTGAATTGTCTGTTACCATATTAGGCTTGGTCATGTGGCATCTTCAACCATATCTGCCCCCCCCCTCTTGAACTTCTCTGTTGTTAATCAAATATCTCGACTTTTCGAATTTTGTTCATTTTGAGGCCTCCATTGGATTTGGATGAGAAATGTTGATGCGGTACTCACGCCGTTAAGTAACCATTAAAATGTCTGTGCTGACATGGGACGTGTCTTTTAGGATAAAGCCACGTCGGCAAAAACATTTTGGATGGCCAGGATTTGCTTTCGCTCTTAATTTTCTAACACTCTTTTTTCAAAAAAATTAAAATTTCAATTTCTTTACTGCCGCCATACCATTGACAAACACTGCTGTGAAAAACTCTAGAGTCACCACCACCTGGATTAGCCACCACGCTTGACCTCACCAACACCTTCACCATGGACAAACACCACCATCACCTCTGTAGATCCACCTCATTGCCGCCAACCACAAGTAGTCTCGGCACCACCAACTCCGGCATCAACCTCACCACCACCAACACATGCAGGCTGCGCGCATCAGATCTGAGGTAGCGTGCCTCAGATCTGAGGAAGCCTCTCAAATTTGAGGCCATGAGACCTCTGTTGAAGGTCAGGGAGAGAGAGAGAGAGAGAGAGAGTCACTAGCTAAGGCTGTGACAGCAACGATGGCACGGCGGCAACAGAGATGGCACCAAATGCAGCTGCATGGTGGCTGCATCGACAAGTCCAAGCTTGACCTATAGCATCAATGGTGGGTCTGCAACGAAGAAGTAGGAACACCGTGAAGAAGAAAAGGAACAGGAAAAGAAAAAAAGGAAAAGGAAAGGAAAGGAAAATTAAAAAGAGAAAATAATGATCTTTTAATTCATTTTAAATTTGAGTTGGCAATCCTAGTTAGCAATAGCACATAAATTTTGCTAAGTAAGCAAGTCAAACCAGCCTTATTTATCAGAGGCCTCACATCGAGCATAATTCAAAAAGTTGAGGTACTTAATTGTGGAAAAAGAAAAAGTTTAGATTTTTTATTGCAAATTGGGCAAAAGTTCAGGTACTTGTGGTGTTTTTATCCAAAAAAGAAATTCTCAGAATGAGCAAACTAGTGTCTGAATTTTTGACTTTCAAAATGAAAATCTCCAAATGGGCTGTTCTATTCCCCCATTTTCTTCTCTAGGTTCCTCCGAGTTCTTTCATACTTTTTGCCTCTGTGCTGTAACTCTGGTATCTTGTCTCAACACGTCACAAGATAGAGTGCACCTTTTAAGCATCTTATTTTAACCATGTTTTTTTTTAACTGGTGTATTTTCAGCATAGTATTGTCGATTTCGATGCTATTGTAGGTACATGTCACTGATGGAATTGAGTTCGTCAGACGGGTTGCAAGTACTGTTGCACCTGTGGGGGCTGCTGTGATTGATAGAAAGGAGAATGGGAATTTGAAAACTCTTCAATCTGCTGACAGTGAATCCCTTCTAGACAGCCAAGACAGCGGTGAAATTGACATACTGGTTGTTGATGTTGATTCTGAAGATCCAAGGTTATTATGAATACTGAATTGTACATAGAATTCCTTCATGTTATTGTGTAGAAAGTAATGTGGTTTTCACCTTTTCTAAACTTTTTACTTTAACTTATTGCTGTCAATTAACCGGTGCAGCTCTGGGTTGTCCTGCCCTGCTGCTGATTTTGTTGAAGAACCTTTCTTAAAGGATGCAAAGAGCTCCATTTCCAAGCAGGGTCTGTTTGTTGTGAATTTGGTCTCTAGATCAACAAAGATCAAGGAAATGGTGATTTCAAGGTTGAAAACGGTGAGTACATAGAACTCCAGTTCTTGACTTATGCTAGAACGTACGTAATTGCTTGTTCTGCTTTTATGTTATTCTCTTAATGTTGTCTTAACATGGTTATTCTTCTTTTTCCTTTTGGCCAAAAGATGGTCGTTATTCTGATGTGCGGTTTATGTTGCATATTTGCAGGTCTTCAACCACCTTTTTTCCCTTCAACTCGAAGAAGACGTCAATGAGATTCTTTTTGCTCTGAAGACAGACGATGGTATCACGGAAAATCAGTTCACCGAAGCTGCTGATCAGCTTCAGAAGCTGTTGCTTTGCAGACATCCAAAGATGAGACAAACCATTGTAGACACGTCCAAGAAAATTAAACGCTTGAATTGAAATATCAGTGGCAGTATGTTCTACAATCTCTGTAGCTTTAAAAAAAACATCAAAATTTATTTTGGGGCTGCTGATGATGTAAGTGATGGGCAATTCCATCCACTGTTCCTTTTATGAGCTTTCGTATCAAGATCTTGATATACGCGATAGTGAGCTTTTGTTCCTCCTGAACAATTGTGAATTGATCAACAGATTGGTATAAAAGGACTGCTGGATTTCGCATTTTCCAATTGGGAATTCTTTTGGTCATTTCATTCTTGATTCCCAATTCATGGTGGGTGGATGTCGTCTACTTCTACCAATTCCTCCAGTTTTCTGGATTTTGCAAACCCCATACCATACTTGAAGCAGATTAACTGGAAACTGGTGCTGTCAAACATATCCAATCCAGTGCTCTTGAATGTACATGCGACATGCGAGGAATGTTATGCGTATTCCTTTAGTCGTATAAACAGGTGCCTGTATTCTGAGGAATAGTTGCAAATCGAGGTGCGAATTCAAGTTACTTGTAAGTTAACGGAGCTGTTGCCTGGCATTTAAAGAGTTCGAGCCGTTGGAAGCTAGAGACTGTCGTGTGTTGTTTGTGAGCCTGCAAAGCAGCTACTATTATGATTATGAATGCCTGTGCTGTACAAGTAATTATCAGTTCGCAGGATGTTGTAATTCATTTTACTTAGTTCATTATATTCTATGATTCAATTCGATATTGAGTTAAATAAGGTGATGCATCTTTCCTCTTTGCTAAAATGTTACAAGATATTAATGCTTCAATGTCTGTAGTGTTGGTTGGGTTTGGATTATCCACACGAATCATATTGTGCCAAGTGTCCTCATTTTTTCTCTAAACAGAACCTCTTAATTGCTATGCGACTTCCCTTCTCGGCCCGGTCGTGGGCGAGGAAGGATTAGGCCGTGACCTAATGCAACAAACTTTGAGGGGACAAAGTATGGCATCCATAAATTAAAAGGAAAATGACACAAATAGTCCATGAACTTTGATCCAATATTCAATGTGGTCCCTAAACTTTTAATTTGTTCAATATAGTCCATAAACTTTAACATAATGTGCAATGTGGTCCCTGAACTTTAAATTTGTTTAATGTCGTCTCTAAACTTTTGGTACATGTTTAATTTAGTCCCTAAACTATATGAAAATGTTCAATGTAGTTCTCCCATTAATTCAAATTCAGGGATTACACTGAACATTTTCATATAGTTCAGGGACTACATTGAACATATATCAAATGTCCAATGACCACATTGAACATTAAGTTAAAGTTCAGGGACTACATTGAACAAATTAAAAGTTCAATGACCACATTGCACATTAAGCCAAAGTTCAGGGACTGTTTGTGTCATTATCCCTAAATTAAACCCATGACTTGAGTTTTGGGAAGTAAATAGTATTAGGAAGGGACAAGACACTAGATAGAGCTAGATATATGACCCATATGACGGACTTCTGTATGCAAACTATCAAAAGAATGCGAAATAGATGTACAAGAATAAGGCAGTTCGGACGGAAAAAAGTAGATGGATGCCGTGATTACATGTCAAGTCGAAAATCCCAAAGGAATCTCTCGAAGTGATGAATAGAGCAGTGCCTTAGCTCGAGTTAGGACATGGAAGGTTCCAAGATCCTCAAGCTGAATGGAAGGTTGTAGAGATGGAAATCATCGATGGTGGCATCGTTAACAAGAGCAAATTAGGCATGGCAATCCAAGACGTAATTCTATCTAGCAAACGTACCCACGTCCGGTTGCAATTTTTGCATGTATGATTGATGGTACAGTCTGGCAGAACATGCCCCGTGACGACAATGACAGTATTTGGATCCAGATTGGTAGAGCTTTGTGGAAGACGAGAGACGCTTATGCGCTGTGTAGCAAGTGCAATGCCGCTCCTAACTTTCAAAACCCCACGTTTGGTTTTCTCAGAGATAATGTATGCAAACGTAGTCTCCAGGGTGGGTAAGGGAGCGCAATGAAGAAATGATGTAAGGAGCTGACTCATAACCATCAACTAAACCCATCTAAAGCGTAATGAGACATTCATGATCTTGATGACTAGTATATAGAGTCGCCTCGTGTTCCACCGTATAGGCTAAGAGAGTTCTAATGAGTCTCGAATCATCTGCATCCGACTTGAAGAAATCAGAAATGGCACATACACAAATTTGTAGCTTCATAAGAGCATCTATTGATTGCTCTTGCTCTAACGTCTTAGTAGATGTTGAAAATCCACAAATTTCTCTCTGAAAGGCGTCATCCGCTATAACTGTGTACTCCATTCACGTTAGAAGCTCACTACCAGTCCAAGAGACAGTCCTATATCTTTGGGCTGAATTCTCGTTTTGGATTTTCCAACAGAAGTCGAGCTAGAGCTGTCATCTTTTCATGGGTAATTTTTTTTTCTAGAATACTTCTAAGAGTATCCGAAGGAAAGTTCTTATCCCTGTATTACAGAGAAATATATAGGGGAGACATGCAAATGGTCGATAGTTAATGAGAAGATAGTTTTATTTTGATATAATACTAGGGTGAACAAGCTCTACAAATTTGGGCCAAAAACATAAAAACTTAGAAATAGTACTAGTATTGCTCCTTGATGAAAGTCGATGACTACTTCCGTCAACAAATAGAAGTTCGAAGACAATTTTGAAACTTGGATGAAAGCCGAGTAACTATGATTCGGTAACCCCTTTCTACCATTTTCGACCATGCCGAAAGTATATAGTAATGAAGCAGCATCGTATCTATAGCCTAGACGAGGCTCAACATCTGTGAGCCCTTCTTGCTCTCCATGCAACTGCATAAATTCCTTTCTCAATCTTTGGGATTTCATCAAAGCTTGAAGAGAAATCAAGCATGCATTTGAATACACACTGTAAAGGATATAAGAACCTTAAATCGCCATCATCTATAACATCCAAAACAACAGGGAAACCCTATCTTGCAAAAGCAAAACTTCGCCAGAATTGTACCGGAACAAAAACAAGATGCTCACTACCCAAAAATCCTCTTGCAGCTAAATAAAAGTAAGTCGGATAATTCAATACATCATCAATAGTAAAACTCACGCAGTTGCAGATGCTTGGGCTGCAAGCCTTTTCCTCGCCTCCTCAATGATGGACAACTTGATACCCTTGCCCTTGGGAAGAGAGACAAAAGGTTTGGTTCCCTTTCCGATCGTGAACACATTGCCCAATCGAGTAGCAAACTCATGACCCTGTGAGTCTTGAATGTGAATGGTCTCAAAAGTTCCCTTATGCTTTTCACGATTTTTGATAACTCCAACACGTCCCCTATTCCTTCCCCCGGTAACCATGACGACGTTTCCGACATCGAACTTGATGAACTCGGTGATCTTGCTGGTCTCAAGGTCAAGTTTGATGGTGTCATTAGCCTTGATCAGAGGGTCGGGATAGCGGATGGTACGGCCATCATAGGTATTGAGGTATGGGATGCCTTTCTGCCCAAACTGGACCGAGCGAACCTTGCAAAGCTTGAACTGTGATGAACATATTCCGCAAAATCAGAACAATTATTGGGAAATGAAATAAGACAATTTATTACAATCTTCACATATTGACTGAATTTAATGATTTCAAACATAGCCAACAGAGAGATGAGAAACCAACCTTTGCCTCATCATCCCTGATGCTGTGGAGTCGGAATCGGCCCTTAGTGTCATAGAGGAGACGGAAGTTCTCATTTGTCTTGGGAATTGAGACAACATCTGATAAGTAAGATTTTAAAAAAAGTTAGACATGTATTACTGCAAACTACTGTGTTGTTGAGAAGGAAGGACTCCTTAATCTATCAAGAATAACAACCTACTTTTATTTAAATAGTACAATATTGGCACATATAATTTGGAGCTGATGCTTATGTATAGCTACCAGAGTAAATACCATCCTCTCTTAAGTTTTCTGTAGATAATTTATCGTATACCAGCAAGCCAAATTATAGTCTTGCAAATCAAATACAAACCTAATACATAAAATGCAGTCTTCGAGCATATGCCCCTATATCCACTGTTTCGAGTGTAAAACTTAAAAGTGAAAAAGGAGCATTAAGGTCTCAGAAATATAAAGTGGAGCATCAACATACCCATGAAACCAGCAGGGTAAGTCTTATCTGTCCTGACTTTGTTGTCAACAAGGACATGTCGCTGCATCAAGATGGCAATGACTTCACGATATGTAAGGGCATATTTCAGCCTGTTTCGCAGAATAAGGATCAAAGGCAAACACTCCCTGGACTTGTGAGGTCCAGAAGATGGCTTAGGTGCCTGCACATCGGAAGATGACATTTAGAATACAGAACGAAAGCAACCGAAAATGCAAACAAGCAAATTCAACCGACAGAGAAAATTTTGGATTCAAAAGGGTAACTTACGAATGCACCGCCTAGCTTGTCGAGCATCCAATGCTTGGGAGCATTGAGCCTCTTCAAATGCTTCTTCAACCCACGCGCCTGTTCCACAAAACATAGTTAGACCTTTGCTTTCATTAATTCGAAAGGGAAAGGTAAAAAAACATCCTGGACTTGTAGTGCCAAACCATCAAATTCATAGATTGTCCGCCTTTCCATCTCGACAAATCCCCCCCTCTAAAAGGTTTCAACAAACCTACTGGACCCTTCACTTCAGAGTTCAGACCACCGCAAACAGAACCCGCCTTCAAGCTCAACCCTTTCACTTGCTGGCCAGCCCAGACACATCCTCACAAACTACCAAGAAAGCAAGAACTACTCCCATGGTCAATCAAATCCCTCCGAAGAGCGCTCATCCGTCCAAAATAATCCCCTTTCGAAAAGCAAACCAAAAAGACAAACACAAAAGATGCAGACTTGATATCACCACGCGCACCATTTGCACGCCCGTTTCAGATCAGAGACGTCCTAACGCCTTCCCACGCTAGGCGAAACAAGACAAACACGCGAGCCTCCGACCCACGAACGCGGCACAGTTCGTAGTTTCTTGCCCAGTAGGCCGCGGAAAAACATCGGCCGACATCGAAAAGCGCGGAGCCAGGACGACCCAGATGGCTCCGGAGCCGAAGAAGAAGAAGAAGAAGAAGGGGAGAAGAACCCGGGGCGCTCACCATTTCCGGGTGCTCGGCTTGGACCAACCGGCGGCGGCGGCGGCGGCGGCGGCGGCGGCGGCAGCGGCGGAGGAGCCTCCCTTCTTCTGCACAGCGAGACCTGAAGGTATGGCCGCTCAAGGGAGACGATGATATGAGACGGGGAAGGCAAAACCCTAACGTTTCTCTTCTTATGCCCCCGGATATTTGGGCCGGGCGAGGCCCGCGCAGACCGGGCCGACCCGGCCCAAGAACCGAAAAAATCTGGGCTTCGAACCGAAATGGATCCGGAGATATTTAAAAATTTCCCGCTAGTGCGAAACATGTAAAATAATTTCACAAACCAAATTGACTTTTTTACCGGTGTTAATTCGCATCCTTGCTTTTCGAAATTTGTCGTTTTGCATCTTTAGCCAAAATCCAAAACTTGAAAAAGACCCATTTTGCCCCTCTTCATATAGGAAACTGCAAAAAAATAACCACTGGCGCCTAACCAAAGTCCGTAGTACCCATATTCAAAATCAGCCACAACATTCGCCACCGCCCACCACCGACCAATGCGCTCCCATCTGCTGCCGCGCCGGACAACACCACGCCAATTGCCGAGGTTCGCTCCTCCATCTCACATGCGAGCTTTGGAATAGCTCGGCTATGGAGCTTAGGCTCAAGCTATATCCAGAGCTCAGTCACGGCTAGCGAGCTCTATTAGTATAATAGATGGCCCAATGAAAGCCTAAACCCAGCCTATGTTCCTAATACCCAAGCCCAACATATCTCTTTTGTATTTGAACAGATGGTGCAAGTGTGTGCAAAAGGAAAAGGAGAGAGAGAGAGAAAGAATTTTTTTCTCCCGTAGCCGTTTCGGACGTCCCGATAAACTTAATCAACTCCCGATAAGTATTTAAGCCAATTATTCCTTTAATCGGAGTAATTTTCGAAATTAGGCCATAGATATGGAGTTATGTGAATTTTGAATTGCGAGATTCAATCAAGGAGTTATTCAGCCACGACTTTAATGGAAATGATAGTTTAGGGCGTTGTGGAGCCATAGAGTTTAACGAAAATTGATTCCAAAGTACTGTTTGATCGGAATGAATTTCTAAAGTTTCACGTACAAGTTATAAGTAACGAATGATACACGTAAGGGACAAAAAGGAGCGTTTATTATAAATGAGTTTTTTCGTTAGTGCGTAGAAGTCGTTTTATCAACGAATAAGTGCAGTTTAATTGAGTCATTTGTTAGATTAGTGTATTACTTGGTTTTTGATATCGCTTTTCGATTATTTTATAGAAATACGAGTACGTCGGGTCGATAACCTTCATAGGTCGATTTTTAGATTTCTCAAGTAAGTGGTGTTATCTTTCTTCAAGTTTGTAAATTTATATTTTGAAAAGTGATATGGATTAGTTATATTGTAAGTTAGAGAGCAATGAATTTTATGGAAATAATAATTTACGGAGTAGTGAAGCTGTAGAGTTTGATGAAAATCGATTTCAAAGTATTGTTTCATCAGATGAATTTATGAAGTTTCGCATGCGAGTTACACATAATGGGCAAAGATAAACGTTTGTTATAAACGAGTTTCTTCACTAGTGCGTAGAAGTCGTTTTATCGACGAATAAGCATAATTTAGTTGAGTCATTCAATAGAATTAGGGATGAGCATGGTTCCAGGTTCTACCTTGGAATCTGAAAACCTGACCGGTTGGAACCTGTAGGTTCCAGGTTCAAAGGTATGCAGGGTAGGTTTCAGGTTCCATAATTTGGGGAACCTGTTTTGACAGTTAGGTTCCAGGTTCTAGGTAGGTGGAACTTGAAACCTGAAACCTAAACAAGTTTTTGTGTGTTTTCTTGGGTTATGTCTTCACATGATCCTGCGGTGTTTCATGACGTTAGATGATGAATGTATAATCTAGAACCACTAGTTCGAGCTTTCATTTTATGACTCGTTAATATTTCATATTCTTCGTGTATCTAAATATAAGTTAGGGTCAGTAGATCATAGCAGCAAGTGGTGATCATTAAATGTGATAATTCACTGCAATTATTCAATTAATAATACAGGTAGAACTTGGGTAGACCTTATAATCGACTTGGAACCTGATAGAGTAGGTTCCAGGTTCCAAAAAATGAGGAACGTATTCTCATGGATAGGTTCCAGGTGGAACTTGTACGGAACATGAAATCGCTCACCCCTAGTATTGATTCACACAATGACTTCTCATTTTAATTGTATTTATTTGAACCGTAATGCCAAGAAAACTAGTCTTTTGTATTTTCTTTGGTGAATGACAAGTTTGTTCATTATTGTTGCGTTCATTTTTTTTCTGTTTAACTAAAAATGAAATAAAAAAAGGGCCATGTTAGACCCTAGAACCTGTGACAGGGTAGGTTCTAGATTCTAGGTTCCAACAGATATGTTCTGGGTTCCAAAAAATGAGGAACCTGTACCCGAGGACAGGTTCCAGGTGGAACATGAAACCACTCACTCCTAGTTAGAATAGTGTATTATTTGGTTTTTATATCGTTTTTCAATTAATCGATAGGAATACAAGTGCGTCGGCTTGAGTAACCTTCGCAGATTTATTTTCGGGTGCTAAGCGAAAAAGTCCCACGTTAAAATTTGGTGTAATATTAAAAAGTTGATGATTTTTCAAATTATTTCATTTTTCACGAAATAAAAGCATCCTTCTCGAAGCGGTTGGATATACCCATTACAATAGCGATTTGCCTGTAAATGTCACCATGGACCCGCAATAAATTTGAGCAGCAATAGTGGGGGCAACCAGGACCAGGCTCCAAAAAAAAATAAAAAAATGAAATGATGAACGAATAAACCGCGGAGACCGCTATGATCACTGCAATTTTTGCTCAAAATAGGTTAAATTTTTTTACTAGAGATTGTCGACACCAGGCCGAAAATCTGAGCGTAAATATAAAGAAGCTAATAGCGCCGATCATAAGTGGCATAACGACACATTTGAAACATGAAGCCTTTAGATGAGACGTTTGAAGAACTTATCGATTGGGGTTCCCAGTAGATAATGTTCAGTTGGAAATTATGACAAGCGATGACGTCTGACCGACTTACTCATAGTCTGAGTAAAGAAAGAACCCTCGATCAAGTGATACTTGTAGCCAAAGGATCGAGAGCGGTTACAAGTCTGTCCTTGAAGTAGCGTGTAAATCAAGAGACAAATAGAGATTTTTGCAGAGGAAGAATAGGATCCGCAAGGGAAGATTTCTTTCAAGGGGGTTAGTTATATTTTGGTGGCTGACCAAGTCATGGGTAAACAAGTTGAGGAAAGATTTTTGTTCTGTGTCAACAAGATTTCTCAAAGAGTACATTATTTTCCGTATTGAGGTCTTTGGTTTGAATGTCATCCCTTGTGTGCATTATTCATGTCTAAGATGATGAAGTCATATGTATCCAATAGTGTTTTCCCACGGAAAATTAATGAGAGGTGATTTCCAGAGGCCACGAGTATTCCCCCATGTTAGATTGGCCTCCTGCTATAAAATGCTAATCCATAGGCTCGTTAATACAATCGAAAACCGTGGCACATACACAGTCCTAGTTCAAGCAGAGAGATAGGTGCTGCGATTCCGAACACACCTTTCCCATGCGAGTGATAATAACTTGGGAACTTTCTAAACGAAGGCTTAAAGTGTTCTTATTTTCTCAAATAATGGCATGAAATGAATTTTGTATCAAATAAGGGCCTGATGTGAACCTTATTTCAAATAAAGGCATGAAGTGCCACTATTTTCTCAAAAAAAGGTCGGACCTCACCAACTAATCAAGGGCATTTTCGTCCTTTTATATATTTTTTTCCCTTTTTTCTTTTATTCTTTCCCATTTCTTTTTTTTTTTCTCTATAGCCAGCCATTTACCGGCAAGGCCTTGTGAGGGTCGCCGGCGAGGGCCTAACACCCTCGACGGCCATAGGCGCTAGATCTGGGCGAGGGTCGCCTCGCCCCTGGCCGGCGGGGGCCGCAACCCTCGCTAGCGATCGATGACGGAGAAAAAAAAAGGAAAATTAGAAATTAGAAAGAAGGAAAGGAAAAAAGGAACAAAAAATAAAAGGACGAAAATGTCGGGAAAAGTACCAAAAAAGTCATAAACCTATTACATTGGTATCAATTCAGTCCTAAATTTTTCAATTTGACCAATTTAGTCATAAACCTTTTTACGTTGGTACCAATTCAGTCCATCCAGCCAATTTAGGCTGGAAATTGCTAACGTGGATGCTGACGGTCCTACGTGACACTGCCGACGCTAATGTGGACAAATTTTATAAATTTTTAATAATTTTTCTGATTTTTTTAATGTTTTTTTTCTATTTTATTCTTTTCTTGTTTTTCTTTTTTCGTTTCCCAAAACTGGTTGGCCGTCGAGGGCCGCCGACCCTCGCCCGGTCTGGGCAAGGGCCCTTACGCCCTCGCCGGCCACGGGCGAGGGCTGCCATGCCCTTGTCGGCCAATAGACGAGGGTTTTGGCCCTCGCTTGGATCTGGGCAAGGGCCCCTGCGCCCTCGCTGGCCATGGGCCTTGGCGAGGGCGTTGGGCTCTCATCCAGACCAGCCTGTGGCCGACGATGGTCGGCCGGCAACCTTGCCGACCAACCAGTTATGAAAAAAGAAAAACAAAGAAAAAAAAGAGAAAAAACATTAAAAATTTTTGAAAAAATTATAAAATTTGTCCACGTCAGCGTCGGTGGTGCCATGTAGGAGCATTGGCATCCACATCAGCGATTTCCGGCCTAAATTGGGCGGATGGACTGAATTGGTAACAATGTGAAAATGTTTAGGACTAAATTGATTCAATTGAAAGGTTTAAGACGGAATTGGTACCAATGCAATATGTTTGGGACTTTTTTAGAACTTTTTGGGTACTTTTCCCTGAAAATGTCATTGATTAGTTGGTGAGATCAGGTCCTTCTTTGAGAAAATGCACTTCATGCCTTTATTTTAGAAAATGATAGCACTTCGTGCTTTTATTTGACAGAATGTCCATTTCAAGCCCAATAAATTGTCATTGATAATTGGATATAAATCACTAAATTATATTGTAAGTTACTAACTTGACTGGTAAGATTGTGTTCAGATCAGTAAATTTTTAAAATGACTTCATAAGTTACAATTAAATTTGACTTTGGAGACTCATTACTGTCCACTGTATCGGGCCCTGATTCAACACGAGCAATTTACCCACCCTTCCCAGGATTCGAGACTTATAGAAGCTTTAGCAATTTACCAAACACAGGCCTATTTTTCTTTTCGACTCTTCGTCGAACAATTAAATTACGACCACAATTATAATATATATAATCGACCAGTCACGTCATCGAAATAATATCGTTCTACGGAATGTCTTCCCCGTGCGACATACGCCTGTCGCTTAACAAAGAAGACCGGAAGGGGGGACAAGAGGAGGGCGGACTCCGTCAAAACGAAATGGAATGGAGGACGAAGTCAATGACGACCGGGCCTCCTGAGATCCACCATGAATCTCCAGTTGCTCTCTACTTCGGATTACCATTTAATGGCGTCCATTCCCCTGAAGAAGAAGAAGAAGAAGAAGAAGAAGAAGACCCTTCATGTTATCTTCACTCTTTGTTTGTCGAGCCACCTCCTCCTCGTTCCTTCAAGTCCCTTCCCTTCGAAAACGAAGCTTCACTGAGAAAAACTGATGGCGGTCAGTACTTTCTTTCCCCTTATGTGCTTCTGAACAGTCCGTCTGTGCTTGCTTTTCTTGTTTCTTTCTGTTTTTCTTGGTCCAAGTGATGATGGGGTTTTCATTGTATGTTTGCCCGTGCGTTGTTCTGTGGTTGTTACAGCTCATTTTGTTTGAAAACAGGAGAAGTTCTAGTTTTATTTTTTATTGTTCTTTTTCATATTATTATTTGGGGCTTCGTTTTTTTAATGATAATTTGGTTAATGTTCTGCAAGATGAGGATTGAGGGTGTGTTGGGTGTATAGTCTTTCTGGGTAATTTTCATTGACAGCCATGCACTTGGAGCGACTTCGGTGCGGCTTTACTTTCGTTCACCGAATGCGTCTAACTTTTACTTACTTACACTTTGAAGCACTCTGGCTGTTCTTCAACCAAGACAGCCACGACGCCAGAAGCATGTCGATTGCTAAGTAAATGATGGTTCAATGCATTTAACGACGAAGTTGAAATTCGACGACCTAACTACAAGTTACTCCCCATGTACGGCCTTATTTACCCCCAATCTGTAGTTGTCAGTCGAGCTAGGCATAGAAACGATGTTTGCACACGAGTTAGTATGTGAGATTGCTTCTTCACGAGCTTAACCTATATGGGTTCAGTTTATTTCCCAGATACTAGTACGAGTTCGCCGAATAAGGTAACCTTATGGTATGACTTCTGTGTTTTGAAGCTGTGTATTTGCAGCATTAATAAGGTTGTTGGTGATTATTTGGTATTTGTTTCGACTTGTCTGTTCTACTCGTGTTATTACTAAGCGGTTTTTTGTATTAATCGTGATCATATGACTTCAAATTGATGGATGTTTTGTTCTATCCATGTGTTATGAAGGATTTCTAGTAAGAATTTGGTTAATGGCCGACTGGCTTTGCGTGTTTTAAATCATGGCAAGCACTTGTAAATGTTGGAGAGCCCGTTGTCTCTTTTGCGTGGTTTGAAATTTGGTATTTCTAGGGAGTACATTGTCACGAGGACAAAGTTCGAGTCTAGACATTTAAGGGGAAGATATTTGCACAAGAACAACTTCCCCTGATTCATGATGTTAGTCTAACATGCATCTCGAACCTTGGCCTTTTGTGATGGTTGTTGAGGACTGATATGGCTACTTCCTTTACTGTGCTTAGTTGGAGGTCAAGCGCAATTATTTAGTGCTTATCTAGGGTGCAGGCCTGGTTATAATGCGGTTCTTTAGCCATTCTAGTCGGAGGAACATATCTCCTGAAACATAAACATGCGAAATCATATTATCAGAGGTCGATTATATTGATTCCTACTTTATTTTTTAAATTGTCGAGGTCAGGAATAGTTGTCTCCCGGGAGGTATGCCAAGTTAATGAAATTTTAAGTCCGCATTGTCTGTGACGGTCTCTCCTTTTGCTTGGTCTTTTTCAACTTTGTTGTTGGTTAATGCAGCAACAGCGCTCACAGTTGCCGACATTTGGAAACTGGGAAAACGGAGATAGTGTTCATTATACAGCCTACTTTGAGAGAGCAAGAAAGGGAAAAGGCCACGCGAAAAGAAACCCAGATGGTGCTCAGAGCGATAACGAAACGTATGTAACTAGTGAACCTAGTACCAAAACCTCTTCTATCCAGAAGGAGGTCGACCTAGGTTCACAGAAAGTTGCAGAGCCAGAGGCTGCAATGTCGAAGCACAAGCACTACAGAAGTGGATACGAAGCTGACCGGAAGAGACTCATCGGTTCACCTCTGCATCGTGGAGCCACTGGTGGAAGAACTGCCTCCAGCGCGTCTCGACCATATAGTAGTGGCGTAAGAAAGCCCCAAAGCGAAGCTGAACAGGTTATGAAGGGGCAAACTGCAAGGAGGCCAAGCCATGAGTATCGGATTAGAGTGGAAGAAGATGGTCATCGCAGGAGGAGGTTTAGTGATTCCACGCTGCATCGAGACCCTAGATATGGCAGAGTCGCTGCTGAATCGCCTGTCCATCATGACGGTGGAATGATATCTCGTAGTACCCCAAACAGATTGGTGTGGCAAAATCCATGGGTGGAGCACATCGAGTCCTCTACTCACCGCACACAACATCTAGCTAGTGTTGGGGGTGGAGGAGGTCGAATGTCTACTCCAGTGCGGGAGAAGAGGTACTCATTCACATGTAGCGGACACAGCGCAGCTCCCATGACTCCGGGAAGATCTCGTCTCAAATCAGTTACCCGAGGAGATAAAACAGTAATCTCTCAACTATGTTCACTTTTCTTAATGGAGAGTATCTGGTGAATCCGAGGAAATTTATAAAGAGACTAACAGTCGAAGCAGTTAATCGCGCATCCGTTAGGAAAATGAACATACTTTAGTCTCGTTCCAGTTAGAGAAACCAAGCCTCGGTAGCTTTTTCGTGATCATGCCCCTGCCTTATTGACATGGAAGAAATAAGCAGTGAAAAAGATTCGGGATGTGACTGGATTTGCTACGGCACGGTGTTAACTCGAAAACAGCATTTTTTGGATGCTGGATTGCATTAGTCTCCGATAGTCCGAGTGTGTATAAGTTTCGAAAGCAAGATGCACACGGCATATGGAAAACTAATCTGCTTCTGCTTCCATGGAAGCTCGAAAATGTCAAAAAAATTTAGGGCCACATTGAGCTGAGGCCTCTAGAAGTCGGAACCTTTCCTGTATTTTGTTGCTCTGTGGCTGGAACCAATTGGTTCTGATTCTTGTGTTCTGTTTTATCAGCCTAATCACATCACAGCCGTTCCTAAATTCGGAGATTGGGATGAGACAAACCCTTCCTCTGCTGATGTATACACGGATGTATTTGATCGTGTGGTGGAGGAAAAGAAGGGTGCCGCAAGAACAGCACCAGTGACTACAACCGAGGCCCCTCGTTCCATCCGTCAGCACTCGAGTGTTGATACAAGGTCCGAGGTATGTGATGCCTTCACGGTGGCTCTTCATTTAGCATTATGGCTCTATATTTTTCTGTCGATTGAACATGTCCATTTAAGATGGTCATCACTTTAACTCTGCTTTCGTTATCGCCTCGTTGCAGTCTCAAGGATGTTGGTGCTTTCCATGGCGAGGAAAATGATATCTGAGATGCTCAGAAACGCGCCACAACCTGTTTATCGGTCCGCACAACCTGCGCGGGATTTGTCTGTACCGAGAGATAAAAGTATGCGTAATTTATTCTGTAGTGAGCATTCGAAGTATTGACAATAGGAGGCTCGAAGAAACAAATGTTGTGCATTCATTAGGTTTTTCTCGCATTTGCCAAATTCTGCTTTTCCTTGTATTGTATTCAATGCATTTCATGTGTATAATGGTAATAATACGCAGCTGAGTTGGTATTCAGCTGGCTTCTTCTAACTGAATAGGTGAGGAAAGAGGCATTTTGTGTTCAGCTTTGTTCAGGCTAGCTATCATTTTAGCAACATCAGAGCACTGGAGTGACTGAATGTAGTGGATCTCGGAAAGCACCTTTGAATACCATAAAACCGCGATTAGAGCGAACTGCAGCTGCTAGAGCAACCGTTGCATTCGACAATCACAAACCGCTCAAAGGCAACTATACTCGTCTGTGTATCGACTCGACTTCATCAGGGACACGTCTTGTTTCATCAGACAATTTTGGCGGACGTCCAAACATAGTGGAGTTACTAGAAAGAGAAAAATGGCAGTAAATGCATGGTGCAAAGTGAAATTCTCAAGAGACTTTAACTTCCAAGCAATACAGGATCACTGCATTCCAGCACAATCCAATGATTTGCATCAGCAACTACCGAAAGACACACCACTTGCTGAATCTCCCAGATTCACTTGCGTAGAGATAAAGTCTATTTCCCATCTATGTGCTTCTAGGGATCCAGGCCGTTCGGAAGAGATGAGAACAAATCAGCTATAATAGAACAAACCTCTTAAGCTACAGACTTGTATCTGGTGTACTTTCCATGATGCATTGGCAACACTAAACGATTTGTCGAGCCGAGGAAGCACGATAAAGAGCCTTTGCTCGAGAAGCAAGCAACATGGCAAAATTTTTCAAACAAATATTCCTTGGTTGGCCCCTCCTATAATCGGCTCATTCAGTTTGGCTTCTCGCTACGAGATCTCATCCCCGATTAGATCCAAATAACTTCTTCGAAATAGACAGTCCATGGCATCAAGGCAATTACCGATGAAGCCAGTATTGGCTACACATCTAAATCAAAGGTTCGCAGCGTTGCTGACTTTAATGATATTCTTGCTTCAAAGTCAAAACTCAGAACCAAGAAGCTCCAAGTCATGGACTTCCTTCTACAGAGGATATCTTTGGTACTGCTTTGAGGCTTCTTCGCCCCTGTGCTGTACATAGATGCAGGAGATGAGTATCATGAGAAAAAGTTTCTACTTGAAGTGCATCTTGCCTTCTCATACAGACATGCTTGATGCTTGTTGGTGGATCCAGAACCATTGGGTGTCATCAGGGTTTTGACTTGTGGACAAAGGAGTTACAAAAATGTTAAAAGTAAATTAAGAAACACGTCCGCCATCCCAACCAAACACAGATGCACGTAATAATCCAAAAGGAACCCACAAAAGAGAAGAACAAAGTGCGTACTCAGGCACCCGAACACGGCATCCACATCATGACTAGCCCTCTAGGAAGCTCTTCTCCTGCAGGACAAGATACAAACTTAAACTCACTATAATTAACCCAAAAGGATACTGAAACCAACTGTCAATTCCAAACATGCGTTATATTTTATCATCCATCTAAAACAAAGGCCAAAATGAGATCGATAGTACCTTTTGCTGATAAGAAGGCCATTGGCTTTCTCATATGAAGTTTCCCCTTCTTTACGTGCTGAATGATCGCCGGTGAAGTCAATTTTCTCCATAGGGTCCTTCACTCGAGACACATATTGATTCTGCGGCTTTGCTCCATGAGGTGAAACTAAACTCTCAACGTACACTGCAAAGTCTAATTTATCCTCCTTCACGAACCTCTTTGTCATAACATTTCTCAGGATCATAGATAAGCATGTCGCGCCGATCGAACTGAATGCTATCTTCCCTTCTCTGGTAGAGCACAATGGCCTCATGTTGAAATAAGTGATTAATGTCTGATTCGGGAGATTAACACTACACAACTTCGTCCAAGACGATGACGATCTTACACCATAGTCGCTCATCATCCATTCCAGAAACAAGTACTCCTCCGCCATGCTTTCAAATATGAGAAGGCATGCACCGACAACTCCCAATACTCCGAATCCAGTACCTTCATCGGCCTCCGGCAGCGGCAACAAGGCATCGTCAAACTTCTCTTTGCTCATGCAAAACGAAACAATCTTCTCGGGTTCCCAAGAATCTCTCCCAAGAACTACCCAATGAAGGAAACCATTCGCATAGGTCCCGACTTCCGGCCGATAGTTAAGGTCATCATGCTTCTCATGAACTCTCCTCCAGGAACCAGTCTTGAGCTCGAAAACATCAAACGCGTTACCTCTCGTAAATCCGCATTCATCCGTAACGGGACAGGACCGCAATATTTTGTAATCATCAGTCGAGGGATCATAGCCAAGCCCACAAATGGTCCCTCGGTTATTCAAGAAACCAGCGTTCGGGATGTTTCTAGACTCCCCCGTTGCCGGGTTCCACAGGACAACAATCCGATGATCGTCGTACTCCACGCAGACCAAACCGTTGCAGTATCCGACGATGCGGGCGCGACATCCGTCGGGAACTTCGACCGGAGACTGAAGCTGGGTTAGAGCCATACCTTCACGACCAGCATGATCACCACCGCCGCCATCATCATCATCATCATCATCATCATCATCATGGGGTGACCCGCAGCTCACGGACTGAGGCGGGTCGGTGGCGAGGAGGATTCTCGGGGGAGATGCGGCGGTCTCCAGATGGGTCTTGGCGAATTCGGGAGTGGAGATCAGCGAGCACCATCCCTTGCACACGCACTTGAACCTGAGCAGAGACTTCACGGGAAGCCGCCGGAGGATTTCCCGGTCGACGTCTTCGCCGAGACTCGACATGACCTCCTCCTCCTCCTCTCCGACCTTTCCGATTCCGACCACACATCTCTCCTCGATCGATGCTTTCCTTTTTGGGGTGAGAAATTCCTAAAAGGACCCCCCCTAATTTGGAAGTTTCTTTTCTAGATAGGTCCCCCAGATTTAGAATTTTTTCTCAAAATAACCCCCCAAGTGAATCGCCGTGTTCCAATTGACACCCTCGGATTATCTCTAGGCAAGTGAACCTGGGAGATTCAGCAAGTGGCGTGTCTTTCGGTAGTTACTGATGCAAATCATTGGATTGTGCTGGAATGTAGCGATCCTGTATTTGCTTGGAAGTTGAAAGTCTCTTTGAGAATTTCGCTTTGCACCGTGCATTTACTACCATCCTTCTATTTCTAGTAACTCCCACTATGTTTGGACGCCCGCCGAAATTGTCTGGTGAAACAAGACATGTCCCTGATGAAGTCGAGTCGATACACAGGTGAGTACAGTTGCCTTCGAGCGGTTCGTGATCGTCGAATGCAAACGGTTGCTCTGGCAGCCGTGGTTTTCTCTAATCGCGGTTTTATGGTATTCAAAGGTGCTTTCCGAGATCCACTACATTCAGTCACTCCAGTGCTCTGGTGTTGCTAAAATGATAGCTAGCCTGAACATAGTTGATTGCTATGAACTCAAAATGCCTCTTTCCTCGCCTATTCAGTTAGAAGAGAAGCCAGCTGAATATCAACTCAGCTGCGTATTATCACCATTATAAACATGGAATGTATGAATACGAGACAAGGCAAAGCAGAATTTGGCAAATGCGAGAGAAACCTAATGAACGCACAACATTTGTTTCATCAAGCCTCATATCGTCAATACATTGCATGATCACTATCGCAGGATCACTACAGAATAACTGCGCATACTTTTTCCTCTCAGTATAGACAAATCCCGCGCAAGTTGTGCGAATCGATAAACAAGGTGTGGCGCATTTCTGAGCATCTTAGATATCATTTTCCTCGCCATGGAAAGCACAAACATCCTTGAGAGTGCAACGAGGAGATAACGAAAGCAGAGGTAAGGTGATCATCATCTTAAATGGACATGTTCAATTGACAGAAAAATATAAAGCCCTATTGCTAAATGAAGAGACACCGCGAAAGCTTCACATACCTCGGACCTTGTATCAGTAAGCTTCCTACTATCGATCATTTGATTCCCGCTTCTTCCTTGGCTTTCTCTGGCGAGGTTGTGCTTCCTGTCCCACTTGTTTCCAGATTTCATGGTGCCGATCCTTACTGACTTAGGCCCCAGGCCCCGTTTGGTTCAGCTTTCCGAGTCCGGAAAGCCGAAAGCCGGCATTTGGAATGCCGTTGGAATACCGAAAGCCCAAAGCTGGTCCGGACCAGCTTTGGGCTTTCAGCATTCCACAAATGCTGAAGCCTATTTTTCCCTTCCCAAATTGCCCTCACTCAAATTTCTTTATTCCGGTTTTGCCCCTGTTACTGTTCATCTTCTTCACCGCGAGGATGGCCGGTGAGGGTGGCCGGCGAACGGCCGGCGAGGGCGGATCTGGCCGACGAAGGGCCGGCGAGGTCGCGCGACCCAGGCGACGGCCGCCTGAGGTCGCGACCCAGGCCAACGTCGCCTGAGGTCGGGCAACCCAGGCGACGACGCCTGGGCGGTTGCCCTCGCCGGCACTTCGCCGGCCACCCTCGCCGGTGAAGAAGATGAACAGTAATAGGGGCAAAACCGGAATATTAAAACTAAAAATTGCCAAAGCTCTTTGCAAAAAAAAATTTACCAAACACTACTTAGGCCAAAGTAGCTTCACAAATTTTTTTTTACCAAACACCACTTACGTTTCCCCAAGTGACTTTCACCTAAAGGTATTTGCATTCCTCAAGTTGCATTTGAAAAGCCGAACCAAGCGGCCCTTAGATGGGGCTGGCCCTTCTTCTATGTTGGGTATCGGCGCTTTGATTCCAGCCCGTGTGGTATTCTCTGGACGGTAGGAGCAGAGCGACTGCAAATTTCCTTTTTTTTTGGAGCCAGAAAGAATTCATTTATAAAAAAATTCATTAAGAGAGAGTTGATGTGGTGCTTTTGCTGATGCCACATTGACACGTCGGGTGTCGATTGAGACATCTAACAGCTAGCTAATGAACATTAATGTCACATCAGCAATTTCCATCCGATAATCTTATGAGACCACACATCAAGCCAAACTAAGATTCAGGTACTTGATGGAAAAAAGATGAAGTTTGGTTCTTGCAGTGTAATATGAGAATTTCTTCCGCTTTCCTGTTCCGGGATCCACAGATTGAAAACTGCATTTATGAGCCTTAACATACCCATTTGCTTATTCTGAATAGCGAATTAAGTTGTCGTCAATCATTTCTGACAAAAGCGAGAACATTATCATGAACTACCAGTACTTAACTGGGAACCAGAACATCAGCTATCATGAGTAAAGCAATTTAAAGAGTAGAGCAGAGTTCTCAGGCACTTTAACAGGAGCAACAGCAAAAACCCTCAAGCCTTTATGAGTTCAATGAAGCTCTCCAGATTCTTCAAGGACGACCCTCCTTCACTCACGCTCTTCCTGGCCATCTCCTTCACCCTAAGACAATTTGACCTTATCTCGTCACTCCCAAGAACTGTTAGTATCTTTGTCCTCACTTCATGCCTAGTTATCACTCCATTTTCATCACCATCCACTCCTAGACCCACCCTCCACACATCACATATGATGCTCCTGTTCAGGTGCTGATCTGCAAAGTAGGGCCTGCACAGAAGGGGGACCCCATTGCTCAGGCCTTCCAGTGTAGAATTCCACCCACAGTGAGTGAAGAAGCATGCCACTGAAGGGTGTGCTAGGACCTCCTCTTGTGGTGCCCACTGGACCACCTTCCCATGATTCCTCACCCTTTGGAGGAACGCGCTGTGGAACTTGTTGACTGGCCCGTCGGTCATCTCTGGGCGTACAACCCACAGGAACGGTTGCCCAATCTGCTCAAGGCCGTGGGCGAGCTCGTAGAATTGTTCCGGGCTAAAGATTGTTGTGCTTCCAAAGGCAACATAGATGACTGACTGGGGTGGATGCTGGTCTAGCCAGTTCGAGCAAGTCAAATCCTCCTTCCACAGGCTTCCTCTGTTATGGAGTAATCGAGTGCTTGCTAACAATGGACCAACTGGGAGAACTCCAGGAATAATTCCACAAGCCGATGACTCGAGTTCATGAAACGAATTGCAAAGATATGAGGTTGAGTGTGTGCTGTGATGGACGATGGCCAACGCCCATCTGAATAATGTTTTCTGTATCATCAGGTCTTCAGGGAAACTCCAGGTGAGGTCATCACTCTTATATGAAGGAAGCTTCTTCGATATCGGAATCGCATCCTTCTTCAGAGCAATGCCTGTATGAATTTTTGAGGCGACATTAGATTATTCACATAAGCTAATTGCATGGCTCTTTAACGTTCCCACTGCCAATAAAGCAATTGAGAGAGAGAGAGTACATCACGTATTTAGACTTCCAAGATTGACTGTTCAAGGGTTCTAGCTCTGGCCCTTACCATCGTTGTCTATGACTCCACCCTCAATCAGCTTTGGAATATGAAGTGTCAAGGCCAGACTCAAAACTGCGGCGGGCCAAAATCCGGCTCGCTCGATACCCATCCTTTTGGCAACTTCGAGTGCCCATCCAGCGGTCATGTCCGCAATTACAAAGCTGATCTTCTCATCTTCATTGCTATTTGACTGCCGCTTCATTTTCTCAATGAACTCCTGCAAATGACCCGGCATCACTCTTGATATGCTCTCCAGCAGCTTCGCCCAGTCCTTGCGCTCCTCATCGGTCTCAAGCCCATCTGGAAATGCAACGAACCTAATCCGATTCGATCCCTCATCTTGTTGGTTTGCGGCCACCACTTGCGCATGAACAGACTCTGTGTTCACAACGGTAACCTTGACACCATGATCAGCAATACAGTGGGAGAGTTTCAGGAGAGGAGTGAGATGACCTTGTGCGGGAAACGGCACGACCAGGACGTGTTTTAGCTTTGCCATTGTCGACACCGAATGGAGGACAGTTCCTTCGCACGCTTTCAACTGGCTTCTTAAAGCTCAGATGCGGCCGTAATTGTCTCGTTATGAAGTGATTCTGAGGGACTTTGGTACTTGGCTTTTTGTATATTTATCTTTGTCCATCAAGAGCAATGAACAGAAGCTGCGGCGGTGACAGAGAACAAAATCAACTAACTGGCCAGCAATTTGTCTATGGCAGGTATGCTTTTCACGTTTGCGCTGTCTTATCAACAAGTGGACGCTCTCCAGTTTTAGGTTGTCCCTTCTCTTGAGAAGATAGAGTTGTCATCTTCCATTGAAAACAAACGTGTTGGACAAAAATTCTACGTACAAAGCACACTGGGTGCTTGGGTCGTCATTCGTGGTCCCATTTCATACAATTTCCATTCTGGTGTGCCACTTGAGAGAGTATATCCTCGGTTGGATATCAAGTTCATAGTGGCCTTAGATTGGATCTTTTCAAAACTTGGATATTACATGACTTGGTGTACTTTTGACATCTCTTTTCGGCGGTCTCGGTATTGTTGCGAAGAACAGGTGATGAAACAATAAAATGAATAGAACAAGGAAAATGAATCCGATACCCGGTTTACGCGATTCGGTCGATGCGACCTATTCCAAGAGGAGAGCAGCTCGGAATTTCATTTTAGAACAACCTATATAATGGAGATTGCAACTGCTCGAGTCATTCAATTACTATCATTGTTTCTCAACCTCCAATTATATCTAATAAGTCACGCAGTTTTTAGCTCACACGATTTTCATGTCGAAACGACTTTCTAATCTCACAAAGTAACTCACAATTCTCATGACAAGATTTATTGACTTCATGATGTTATTCACGAGCACGCCGCACAATTAAATTGTTAGGATCTAAAGCTCCTCTGCTCACTAATGTGTTAAAGCGAAAAACCCACCTCTTATATTTATAATATTAGGATCCAAAATAGTAAAACCCCTTACAGCCTACTCAAACTAGGAATCCAACTCCAAAGTTGGGGGTCAAGCCACAACTCCAAAGTTCTACTCGGATCGGGACGAGCTCAAACTCGAGATATATTCTCAACATAGCACGATGAACTCAACATGACTAAACTAACTCATCCTCTTCGTAAATTGAATACGCACCGGCCATTCCAACTTCCCAAAAACTAGGAGTTGTCATTGGAAAAAAATAGCTACGAGGTTTCCCTTCATCAGAATTTATCAACCGGTATAATCATCAGAACTCCTTCAACTCCTACTCCGGGACGAGCTGAGAAAGAGGAAAACGGATAGACATTATAACTTAATCACTGAAAGATGAATATCTACAGGAGTAAGATGATCCATTTCAGGAGTGACCAGAGCACATAACTTCCGATCAGCTGTAACTAACAAAATAACAGGATCGATGGTGAAGGATCCGCCCACAATGGGGGCAAGTCGCAGCCGTCCATTTTGTGGGTCCAATATGCGGGGTCCACGTGGGGCCCGCAAAATCAACGGCCGCGAAGGATCCGGTCCACTAGCAAGAAATTCTTCCCACAATGTCACATGTATTGCCAAATCAATCCGTCAGAACCAGGCCGAAAAGATCCTGGATAACCAAAACCGAATAACAGCTCAAGATGGCCAGATCTCCCTAAAAAGGAAAACTCAGAACCAAAACGGTAAGACCAAATCCACTAGAACAACTTTTAAAAGGCTCTAGATTCTTGATGGCTCACAGCCAAGATAGGGAGAAACAAGAGTTTCCACATAGATAGCAGAGTAGATATTGCCGCAGCTCTGGATTGGATAATCCTCGTGAGTATTATCCTCGGGATTGAACAGAATCATCTGGGACGCATCGAGCTGGAAGACGATTTTTCCACTCCTTGTGTACGTGACGGGGATAATCTGCCAATGGTTGTAGCCAAGTATTCCTTCGGTCGATACACTGAACAATTTCGTCCAGGACCCTCCTTTCCCGTATTCACTCGTTATCCATGCCTGGAAGCAGCCACTATAGGTGCAGTGATACATGAACAGATTGGTCCCGTGAATCCCAAGTCCCTTGAAACGCGTGCCCCCATTGAGTTCAGGGACCGGAAGCACCCGCTGGAATTTCTCTTCCGACAAATCGAATGATACAATCAGAGTCTCAACCTTTTCTTCGCTCTGCTCGATGATGCACCAGTGTAAGGCCCCATTCCAATAAACTCCCCCTCGGTCGATGCCGGTGAGCTGCCCTTCTAGTTGGGCTCGTTTCCTTTTCCAAGAACCGGACTTGAGCGAAAATATCACTACCTGCCAATTTTCAGAACCGCGCTGCCATTTTTCAGAACCCTTCAATTGTACTATTTTGTAGTCATCGGACCGAGAGTCGTATCCGAACCCATGAAATATCTCAGGTAGTCGAAAAAGATTGGAACTGGGCAAATTCCTATACTCCTGAGTGGTCGGATTATAGACGACAAATCGGTCTAGGACAGATAAACAAAGCAAGCCATCGCAAGACCCCACGTGCTCGGAATACCAGCTAGAATCGTCCATTCTTGCCTCCTGAGACTCTACCACCGCGCGGTCATCATCGCCGCGAATGCCCCCGTCGAGCACTTCGTAGTTTGTGATCTCGAAGGGGCAGGTCTTGAAGATTCTCTGACTAGAAATTATATCCCCTGCCTTTAGCCTTTGCAGATGAGACTTGGCGAAGCCCGGGTCGGATATTAGAGACCGCCACCGTTTGTCCACGCATTTGAATCGCATCAAGGACTTGGCCGGCAGCCTCAAGAGTATCTCGATGACGATATCCTCGGTGAGACTTTCGGCCACTGCGGAGGCCGAGGTTCGGCTTGATCCGGCAAATGGTTTCTTCATCGGGCAGGTTTCGAGCGAAAGATCCGTTTCTTTGCCTTTCGATCGTTTACACTAAATCGAGAATCTTAGTCAGCACGGAGCAAGACAGAGGGTTGATGTCGTCCGTCCGGATCCTGGGCTCGCTCGATGTGATCGAGGTAGATTGAGTCGGCCACGGCCGGAGGTGGCTTTGTCGATGTCCCGGGCCGTCGCCCACCTTGGGCGGAGGCGGGGCTGCGGACCGAGCAGTGACCGGATTGGGGGGAGGTGGGAGGTAGGAGACAGGGGGCTGACGGGGCTCGTTGGCTTGGCGGCGTTCGCGCGTGGAGTCCAGCAGCGTCGGAGATGGCCGGTTTGACGGCAGCGCGGCGGAGGCGAAGGCGGCGAGGCGGAGAAGAGAGCGTGTTCGCGTGTCAGGCTACTAATGAATATATATATATATATTCACAAACATATGCTTCGCAGGAGTAAATGTCTCTTCAGGGAAATAGGAGGGCAATAACGTAAATTCAGACTTCCATCTCTTAAAAATACCACCTAGCCTAAGAATCGTACTCTTTTTTCCCGAGTTCTCTTTTTATTTTTTTGGAGGGGTTCGTCCTATCTCTAATTCTCTCAGATTTTTGCTCTGTGTTTTTACATAGCGCGGGGTCGAAGCCGCATCTATGATACTGGCGTCCCCAGCATGCCGGTTGAGAGTGAAAAGCTTGTCTTTATATGTTTGAGAGCCTTTCGAGAGTATCAACTGTTTTGATCAGTACAAGAATATGCGATGTCCAAATACTCTGGTTTTGGTTCCTTTGTACCTGTGTATGTGTTGACCAGTTATTGTTGCTGCTGTGCGTGAGGTTTCCCTTCTCCATTTTGTTCTTACTTATTTCGCAGCAACCATAACTTGAAGGCGACGCGCGTGACCGGTCAGAGGTAGAGAAAACGATGCGAAAGCATAAATGCGGGGTGTCCGCAGGGAATTGAGTGATTGCAATAGTGCCATTGCAGGCTTAAATTGATGACCATCTGCTGGCTCCAGAATTGCCAAAAGATGAGGTTGAGCCGACAGTTGTGAAGGGGCAGGGGTTCAGGGATGCAGCAAAGCAAAGGCACCATTGGTGTATGAATTGGGTAGCTGTTGAGGAGGCTGATTGCTTGTCGCTGCTAAAGGTGTCGTTTCCTAAAGAGAATGGGGTAGTAGAGTAAAGCTCGCACTGAACTGGAGTATTCGATTTTCATGGGAAAGAGGAGAAAATGAGGGATTCTCCAACATGTGCTGAATGGATTCTGCTTGTTTTCCTCAGTCAATAAGCAGATTTCGCTGTGTCCTCTCATAAGTGCTGAACCTGAACCTTCTGATGTCGTCCACTTATGGTTAAGGCTTTGTGGGAACCTACTTTTATAGTTCTCTTGTTTGAATGTTGTCTCGCTCCACTGCAACCAAATCACTAGATAAGATTACGATGTGCTCGCTTTAACACACGCTGTTATAGTCAAATGTCCACTGCATAACAAGTCACAGTGAATGGTTGGTGAAATTACACAAGCACAGATCGTTATCCATGCCTGGATAATTATAGTCGAATGTCCAGTCGAGACACTGAACAATTTTGTCCAGGACCCTCCTTTCCCGTGTTCACTCGTTATCCACGCCTGGAGGCAGTCGTTACAGGTGCTGTAGTACATGAACAGATTGGCCCCGTGAATCCCAAGTCTCTTGAAACGTTCTCTGAGGGAGGTGTGGCTTTCTAGCTGGGCTTGTGTCCTCCAAAAACCGGACTTGAGCGAATATATTACCACCTGCCAATTTTCAGAACGGTCCTGCTATTTTTCGCGACCCTTAAGTTGAACTATTTTGTCATCGGATCGAGAGTCATATCCAAATCCATGGAGTGACGGATGCAAAAGATTGGAACCGGGCAAATTCCTAGGCTCCATAGTGGTCGGATTACAGACGACAAATCTGCTAGAACTGTCCACAGATAAACATACCAAGCCATGGCAAGACCCCACGAGCTTGAGCCAGCTAGAAGTGTCCACTCTCATGAAACTTTACCGCCGCGCCATAGTCATCGCCGCCATTGAGCACTTCGTAGTTTATGGTCTCGAGGGGGCCGGTCTGAAGATTCTCTGACTAGAAATCATATCCCCTGCCTTTAGCCTTTGCAGATGTGACTTGGCGAAGCCCAGGTCGGATATTGGAGACCGTCACCGCTTACCTACGCATTTGAATCACATCAAGGACTTGGCCAGTAGCCTTAAGATTATCTCGATGATGATAACCTCGGTGAAACTTTCGGCCACTGCGGAGGTCGAATTTCGGCTTGATTCGGCAAATGGTCTCTTCAATGGGCTGGTTTTGAGAGAAAGATCCGTTTCTTTTGCATTACGATCGTTTAGGCTAAGTCAAGAAGCTTACCCAGCACAGAACAAGATGAGGGTTGATCAGATCTTTCACCACGTATGGAAACAGGAGAACTCAGAGAGTCGTCCGAGCCCTACTTCTCAGATCTTGGGCTCGCTCAACGTGATCGAGGAGGTGGGAGGTAGATGACAGAGGGTGAGGGGGCTTGTTCGCATGGCGGCGGTCGTGCGAAGTACCTTTTAGGGAAAATTTTACCGAACTGAGTTATTTTCTCAAAAGAGAACCCAAAGTGGACATTGTTTTAAATAGAGCCTAAAGTGACCAGGCTAGTCTCAAATAATTTGATACATGGCTTGTCTTTCTAGCAAAGGGTCCAGGAGCATGACTTGCATTACCTCTACGTATATAATGGATTATGCCACTGCTAGACATCTGAAATCACCAAAGAGAGAGCATGTTACCATATGGAGGTCCAAGTGCATTGAAAGGATCGTAAAACAACTGCCAGTTCAGTTTTGAAAAAAGAAGAAGACGAACTTAGAGATATATATACCTTCAAATATGAGTTCCCAATGGATTCTGATACAAAAAGTCTAATCCTTGTCGAATCTATGAGTGAGTAAAGCAATTGCGCATTATTAGTCTGGCCATACCAAGAGACAAATGAACTCGTATGGATCATTCGAAAAAATCATTCGCAGCATTGAGGACACTGCAATCACTGCAGTCAATGATCCACTTAAAGTTCGATGGTAGGAGCTCCAAATTATCGGGTCTTGCGACAGCTTTTTCTGTTGCTTGGATGGCGAATCATTTGTATCACGGAATATAACTATTAGAGAGTCCAGAGAAACCCCAAACCCTAAAGCTAAAGCTAATTATCGTATTAATATAAGCGGCTTCAAAATTTTTTGGACTTGACTATAATTGCTCATCTGACAATTAAAATTCTTGAGTGGTCATATCAGTCACTTTAGAAGCGATTTTGACGGATGCATAGTTGATATTTATGCTTTGAAGGGCAATTCCTGGAAGAGGGTTACAGGAAATGGCAATTTTGAACTGCCTTCCCACGAAGGGATAATTGGAATGGGTTCTTGCATTGGGGTAATTGCAAAGTGATTGGAACAAGAGGCTAGTTTCTTTTGATATGGCCGAGGAGAGATTGTTCGAGGCGATTCCTCTGCCGGAGAATGATCCTCCCCTCACCTTTGAAGGGCTCGGACTCATCAGAGATTGGTTACTTGGGTGCACCGGTACCATCGAATTGGACAAAACACGAAGCATGACTGATAGAACAAGGAGTAAGGCCATCATGGACAAAACTGTATAGTGTGGCGACGAGCACGGAGTTGCCTTCAAGCGAGATTTGGCTCGGAAACATTGTTTGTTACAGAGGAGGGAGAAGTGATTGGAGTTGGTCGTGATGTTGGGAACTTGGATGTGCACGACCCTGAGAAGAAAACAGTCAAGAGTTTCTCAACTCTGATAGGCAATGACCGGCGTTGGTACAGGTTTCCAGTGTATGTTGAGACATTAGTCTCACCCCATTTGAACAATGTGGCAGCATAGGGTAGTGGAATGAAATTATGTGTTGAAACAGTCCAAAGAAAAAGAAAACAATTGCTGATACTGATGTTCTCTTACCTCAATTAGCATGTTTAATGATGATACTCTTGCTTTTTTTTCCTAGACATGAATGAAAGACAGTATTTTCCGATTATAATAATGTGTTTATGCTTTCTTTTAGGTTGAATTTACTGCATTTCGGACCCTGAACTTAGTATGGGCAACTGCAGGACACGCATGAAAACGGCCATACTTGAAATTTCACGGTCAGAGTTGAGAATTAATTAGCAATGATTGAGTCACAAATCAATTCAGGAGGTGATGTACGTAGGCTGAAGACTGGACTCCTTATAGCTAACAAACGGTTAGTGAATCAAATCGAAAAGTGAAATTATTGTATCAGAAGTTGAAAAGGAAACAGCTGTTGATGAAACTTTAATGGCCAGTGATTGTAGTACTAAACGAAAATTAGAAATGTAGTCTAATTCATGCCTGGACTGTGCTTATAGAGAATTCTTATGAGTTGCTCTATGTGGGTAGCGAGTGAAAAACTTATGTCTGCATATGTTTGAGGGCCTTTTGACAGTTTGAACTATTGTAATCAATTCAAGGATATATGATGAATATGTGATGTCCAATAATCTGCACGGAAGCTTGCATTGAACCGGAGTATACAACTCGCATTGAACCGGAGTATTCAACATGTATTGAATGGACACTGCTTCTGTCCCTCAGTCAATAAGCAGATTAAGCTGTGTCCTCTAATAGGTGCTGAACCTGAACCTGAAGACGGGAAAACCAAATCTACTAAAAGAACTCTTAAATGCTCTAGATTCTTGATGAATCACAGCCAAGATAGGGAGAAATAAGAGTTTCCACATAGATGGCAGATTCGATGCTGTCGTAGCCCTGGATGGGATAAACCATGTAAGTATTCTCCTCGGGATTGAACAAAATTATCCGGTACACATCGATCTGGAAGACAATTTTTCCGCTCCTTGTGCACGTGATGGGAATCAGCCAATATTTGCAGCCAGGTATTGCTTCAGTCGAGACACTAAACAATTTTGTCCACAATCCTCCTCTCTGGTACTCATTCGTTATCCACGCCTCGCAGAGGTCATTATTAGTGCCGTGGTATATGAACAGATTTGCCCCATGAATGCCAAGTCCTTCGAAAACTATGTCCCCACCAACTTCAGGGACTGAAAGCACCTGGTGGAATTTCTCTTCTGCCAAATCAAATGACATAATTGTAGTCTCCCTCTTGTTTCGGCTTTGGTCAACCGCGCACCAGTGTAATGCCCCTTTCCAATAAACTCCTCGGTAGTTGGCGAGGTGGCTTTCTTGTTGGACTTGTACCCTTCTCCAAGAACCGGACTTGAGCGAGAATCTCGCCATCTGATAACTTTTAGTACCGTTGCCTTGTACTATTTTATAGTCATCGGATGTAGAGTCGTATCCGAATCCATGGAAGGACTTAATTCCTGGAACCAAATCGAAACTGGGCACATTCCTAGACTCCTTGGTGGTCGGGTTATATAGCAGGAATCCACCGTGGACAACAAAACAGACCAAGCCATCGCAAGACCCCCACGAGATCGGGCATCCATCTAGGATCGTCCACTTTTGGCTCATGAAACCTCACCATAGTGCTACTGTGGCCGCCACCAATGCCGCCATCGAGCTATTCATAGTCTATGGTCTCGAGGGGACTGCTCTTGACGATTCTCTGGCTAGAAATTATATCCCCTGCCTTTAGCCTTTGCAAATGCGACTTGGCGAAGCCTGGGTCGGAAATTAGAGACCGCCACCGTTTGCTGACGCATTTGAATCGCATCAAGGACTTGACCGGTCGCCTCGAGAGTATCTCGATGACGAGATCCTCGGTGAAACTTTCAGCCACCACGGAGGCTGAGGTTGGGCTTGTTTTGGCAAATAGTCTCTTCATTGGGCAGGTTTTGAGTGAAAGATCTGTTTCGTTGCTTTTCAATCTATTGCTCAGCAAGGCTTATATACTAAAGCATGATACCAAGTCAAGAAGCTTGCTCAAGAATTATACCAAGTCAAGAAGCTTACTGAGCAAGAACAAAATGGGAACAGGAGACGGTAGCGGTACGTCAAAACAGTACCCCATCCTTATCCAGCAAGCTTTTCAAATGGTCAAAATTAAGTTTTCCACACTTGCTCAAATCGAACGGAGTCTGAAATTCTGAAGCAAATGCTGTCATACAAGACTGTCCCAAATATTAAACGAGTATTTTGACACTGAATGAAAGGGTAACATTGTATGTTCAGACTTCCCTCCCCTAAACTACCACCGAACCGAAGGAATCGAACTCCTATTTCCACATTCGCACCGTGAATATCTTACATATAATATGCTGTCTCACCACATGTATGCCCATAATATCCTTGGCAGAATAAAGGTTGCATCACGGCATAGAAGGGCAATAACGTAAATTCATGCTTCCCTCTCCTTTGTGACTGGAAAAGTAGTTTAGTCACATGAGGTGATGTACCAAATATCAAAAGGATGAGGCACATCGTACGTGATTAACAACAATAATTGACACGATTCGCATCATCATGGCAAAGGTAATTACAGACTAAGAAGTGTAACAAAATTCACAGACATGCTGATTAGATTATTCCGTTACGAAAGAGCAAGTTCCGTAGATACTTGCTCAATGGATGTAATCCAATATTGGGCTTCCCTAACGTATCCACGAACCACAGAGAAAGAATGTCACTACAAAGCACCTGCCTATTATGTAAGCTGTCAATTCGAGGCCGATGCACTTGGCCAGCACCGCAGAAAACTGTCCAAAAAGTCATAAATTTATTACATTTTTGCATATTCGGTCATAAATCTTTCAATTGTGCCAATTAGGTCATAAACATTTTCATATTTTGTCAATTGAGTTCGTCGGGCTAATTTTGACCGATTATCGATGACGTGGATGCCGGCCGTCTTATGTGGCACGGCGGGTGCTGATGCTAATAATTTTTAATAATATTTTAATATTTTATTTGTCCTTATTTTGTCTTTTATTTTCTTTGTTTTTTTACAACTCGCCCAGTGGCCGTTTGGGTGTGAATCGCAACCCTTGCCTGTGACCCTCGTCGGCCATAGTAACAAAGAAAGAAAAGAAGGAAAAGAGAAGAGAAGAAGGAATAATAAAATAACGAAAATTTCAAAAAAATATTAAAAATTATCCACATCAGCTCTGGCCATGCCACGTAGGACGGCCGGCATCCATGTTAGCGATTTCCAGCCAAAATTGCTAGTTGGACTCAATTGGCAAAATGTGAAAAGATTTCGGACTCAATTGACACAATTAAAAGGTTTATGATTCAATTGGCAAAAGTGCAATAAATTTAGGATTTTTTTTTTTGTAATTTTCCCGTCGGCATTGTGTACATTGCCTATGCGAATGCTAATACCATCTAGAATATCGCGATGAAGATGAAATTTGTTGATCCACATATCCTCTTAATTCAGTTAGTATGTTTTATAATGGTTAATACCACGAAAAACTTCAAACTGATACACGTGGGACGAATTTACCCCAAACTAATTTTTTTACCACAAAAAATATCAAACTGGTACACCTGTGATAAGACAGGTTATAAATGGGTTCTACCCAAATCCACTTTTTTTTTCTTTTTTACATTGGACAAGATATTTGCTAAACAATTTAGATAGCCCATACCCAATCTAACCAGATCCAACCCAAACCCACCCACATAACTCACCCTAAAAACTAAGAATAAGGCCCAGCATATCTCCAAAAATAAATGAACAAAAATAAAATTAAAAAAAAAACTGCAAAATAAAAGGGATTTGTCCTTCATGTTCTATCGACGACCTCCTCAGGGAACCGCTCGCCACTCCTGGGCGCCCCCTCAGGCTTAATGAACCCTCCCTTCCTCAGCTCCAAGCTCAACCCCAGCGGAAACACCGGCCCCCGGGGAATCCCCCGACGGCCACTCCTCCCCCGCCGTCGAGAGCGGATATGTGGCCAGAGGCTAGAGCCGAGCTGGAGCATCATCGAAGTGGCTGCGGTCGAGGACAAGCCACTCCCGTCGCTCAGAGCTAGGCCGATCTCCGTAGCGACGAAGTGGGGAGGGGCCGAGGAGATGCTCCACCGCTTATCGGCAGGAGCTTCATTCGGATTGTTCGCCATGAGCGAGTGAGAAGAGCATCTACGTGCAACCATAGAGAGATAGAGAGAGGGTTTATGGAGGATTTATGCGGAATTAGTTTTGTCCGCTCACTGAACGCCACTGACATCAAAATGGGCAACTGCGCCTCCAACGGCACCACCACCACCGTCATGAACCTCCTCTTCTCCCCCTGCAGCCTCGCCGGAGCAAGGGATCAAGGGAGCACATCCTCTCTTCAAGGTTTCATCTTTTTCTTCTCCAAATTTATGACAGTCGATTAATTGTCTTACGAATCCAATCTCCCGGATTGAGATTTCTCCTGGGAAAAGATTGATTTCGTGAAAATTCTGGTCATCTTCGTCATGACTTTGCGAGCGCCAATGGTGAAGCTCCATCTCGTGCATGTGGGGAGTGAGAGGACGAAGAGAGCCAGTTTTTAATGGGTAATTATTTTGTAACGAAAATGAGTATGTTTCTAACATTTTAGTCAACTCATTTATCACCTGACCCCATAAAAATAAATTAAAGAATGGGTTTTGGACCCATTTTGACACCTTACTGTGTCCCTTTCTTTGATCGCATCAGCTCATCAACTCTCTCCGCTGGCTAATTTGCGGAAGAGAGAATTGGGGTATTGATAAATAGTACATGAGCTTATTTATAGGCTTATTGGATAACTATTTAAGGTAATAAGATAAACATAATACCAAATATAATCAATCAAGGATATGCACCTTTATGCATAATCTTGAGAGATATGCAGAATCAATAAATAGCCTAATATTGCTAACATCCCCTCAAAAGCAGAAGCAAGGTGAGTTGAAACAAATCAACTTGAGTTTGAAAAATAATCCGAACAGTGTCCCAAAATCTTCAATCGCCATGAAATCAAACAAAGGAAATGGTTGAAACCAACATTGCACAGCGTCAAGCAGGGTGGATCCGTGGCACGGCTGAGCGTAGAGTGCGTGTGGTGGCTCCAGGCTTTCGTTGACGATGAGATTTCAATATGTTGATCATCTGACGGTGGCGAGTCTGGTGGTGGTGTCAACTTCTCGAAACAAGAAGTGAAAAGTTGGGAATCGGAGGCCAACGACATACATCCTTTGCAGTCGACTTCGCTGTCAAAACAATAACTGAACCAAAACGGCCGTTATGGCTAGCGTGGCTACAGCAAGCGGAATAAGCCAGGCTTTGCTGAGCGAAAGTTGCTGTGTGAAGATGCGTTTTCGCAACGTCGAAAATACCTCTGTGAAATAGAAAAGCTCAACTTGGCGTTGACGACGCGTCGCTAACGTTGTAACACGACTAGCATGGCGCTTAATCAGACAAGAATAAGACACTTTGATGAACACTGTCTAGCAGCGAGTGGCGGGGATGGATGTATTCTACTTGCGATGTACACTGTGGCTCTAATACCAAGTAAAGAATAATGATGTGGAAGAGAGCATTGGGAAATTTGTGTATTTTCCGATGTATGGATAAATAGTACATGAGCCAGGCTTATTGGATTAATATTGGGTTAATACCATGAAAAACCCTAAACTGATACAGCTGTGATAATTTTATCCCAAATTATTTTTTTTACCACAAAAAATCCCAAACTGGTACACTTGTGACAAATTTACCTCGAACTATTTTTTTGACCACCAAAAATCCGAAACTGGTATAATTGTGACAATTTTACCCCGAACTAATTTTTTTAATACTATTTTTTTTATTTTTTCGAATTTTATTTTTTCTTTTCTTTTCTTTTCTTTTTTTTCCTTCATCTTCTTCATCTTCAACCTCTGGCCAATCGCCGGACCGGCGACCGGCCAAAGGCTGAAGCCGGCGAGGTCGGCCCTGCCGGCCGTTGGCGAGGCTCGACCTCACCGTTGCTGGGCGAGGCCGACCTCGTCTAGCAACGGTGAGGTCGAGCCTCGCCTGATCTTCTTCATCTTTAACCTCTGAACGGTCGCCAGGCCGACGACCGGCCAGAGGCAGAAGCCGGCGAGGTCGGCCTCGCAGGTCGCTAACGAGGCTCGACCTCGCTGTTGCCGGGCAAGGCCGACCTCACCAGTTGCCGGCTAGTTCAAGCCTCGCCAGATCTGGCGAGGTCGGCCTCGCCAGATCTGGCGAGGTCGGCCTCGCCAGATCTTGCGAGGGCTCGGCGCCGCTAGCGAACCCTCGCCGGCTTCGGCCTCTGGCTGGTCGCCGGCGATCGGCTAGAGGTTGAAGATGAAGAAGATGAAGGAAAAAAAAGAAAAGAAAAAATAAAAAAAAATTCGAAAAAATAAAAATAAAAATATTAAAAAATTAGTTCGGGGTAAAATTGTCACAAGTATACCGGTTTGGGGTTTTTGGTGGTTAAAAAAATAGCTCGGGGTATATTTATCACAGGTGTATCAGTTTGGGGTTTTTTGTTGTCAAAAAAATAGTTTGAGGTAAAATTGTCACAGCTGTACCAGTTTAGGATTTTTCGTGGTATTAACCATTAATATTTATGGTAATAAGATAAACATAATATCAAATATAATCAATCAAGGATATGCACTATCAAAAAAGATATATGCATAATCCCGAGAAATATGCAGAATCAAGTAAATACCGAATATTGCTAACACCACCAATGGCCCAACACGGCACACTCGGAGCTCCTCCGACCAAATGGAATAGCATGAAACCTTGCTTTTTTTATTAAAAAAAAATTAATTACTGATATTTTTTTTTAATTTTATCCTCTTTTCTTTATGTTTTTAAACTTTTTATATATTTATTTATCCTTTTCCTTTTTAAAATTTTCAAATTTATTTTTGATGTGGTGCTTGGTGGGCGCCACGCTTAAGAAAATAATAAACAAAGTCACGTCATCATTTCCATTAGTCAAGTTGGACGTAGTTAACGGAAGTACTTGATTACACCAATTTGACAAGATTTAAAACTTGATTGCACATTTTGATTTCATTAATAGTGCACATATCCCTTTTTTTTTAAAGCTCTTGACACTTGAAGATCGATTTGCAATGCCCATTGTGTTTTCAGAATAACTATGCACTTTCTCATTTTGTTGGGAGGAGCAAAAAAAAAAAAGGAAAAAGGAAATTAAGTCTACTTCGAGAAAAGTGGGGAACCGGATGTCCATTGAACCGCTTCATAGATTATAAAAAGTTCAAGTTTGACCTAGCATTTCCAATTGTATTAGTTGCTTAGTTCTGAAGTTTTCGTCTGTACATTTCATATTGAATAGGTCGGCTGGCGAACTGAGATGACGGTCTTCATCGCATCAATTCTCTTAAAAGAATAACAATATCGGTGCCTTCATTCCCACTTCATATCCACCACGCCGTTCCCAGATACAAGAGCAATGGTGATTCTCAGTTTAGCAGCTCCCGCCGCTTCGAGTTCCAAACCGAATCAATGTCTTCACATGGCCGATCGATCTTTCTTCGTCCAAGTCCGGTGCCGCCGCGTCTTTCTCGCATCAGTCGAATATTCTCGAGGGTGTGATGTTGAATCTTTTCTCTTTTTTTATTCAGCGAGGTCCACGAGCATATCCTTACGATCCTAAAGAAAGCTTATGTTCCTAGTGAAGGGACGTATCGAGAACCGAAACAGAACGATCACGCAGAAAACAGAGAAAATAGACGATGCACGAATTTACCCAGGTTCACCCTCGATTAGGGTTACGTCCTGCAAAGAGATTTCACTATGTTTTTAGGTTTACAGCCACTCAACTCGTTACTATGATCAGAAAAACGAGCAAAATATATATATGCCCCAAATGGGCCCAAAACCTAAACCTATATGAAATCTCTTAATCTCGCACTATACGGGCCAGCCCAAACCCGTTGAGGTTTCGGGGGCGCTGCCCCCGAGCCCCCGCCCGCTCACCGGCGAGCGGGGCAGCCGTCCGCTCCAACACCTAGTTCAGTATTGTGAAGTTATTGACTGCCGGAAAGGATGTTTTTTAATTGCGAAGATGTCATTTCCCCAGATGAAATCCACTGCTAATTCATGGACGTCATCCATTACGTTCTCTTTCGGCTAAGTTTGTCATCTCATCTCCAATCATATATGAAACCTACAAATTCCCACATCTTCTCTGCAAATCCTAAATTTGGTCTACCTCATAAACTCAGAGATGGATCTCTGGTTCCTCATCCTCGTCACCCTCTCCGTCGCCGCCCTCCTCAGAGCCACCGTCGACCTCCTCTCCTCCGCCCCCAAGAAGAAGAGCCTCCCTCCAGGCCCGCTCAAATTCCCGGTCGTCGGCAACTTCCTATGGCTCCACAAGTCCTTCTCACAGTTCGAGCACATCCTCCGCTCCCTCCACGCCCGCCACGGTCCGATGGTCACCCTCCACGTGGGCCCCCGCCCCGCCGTCTTCATCTCCTCCCCGGCCCTTGCCCACCAGGCCCTCGTCCACCGTGGCGCCGTCTTCGCCGACCGCCCGCCGCCTCTCGTCACTGACCGCATCCTCTCTGCCAACCAGCACATCACCTCCTCCTCCTACGGCCCCACTTGGCGCCTCCTCCGCCGGAACCTCACGGCAGAAATCCTCCATCCCTCGCGCGTGCGCTCCTACTCCTGCGCCCGTGCGTGGGTTCTCGACATCCTCGTGGCGGAGCTCAAGTCCCAGCCAGGTGGTATCGTCCGCGTCGTCGACCACTTCCAGTACGCCATGTTCTGCTTGCTGGTCCTCATGTGCTTTGGGGACAGGCTCGAGGAGAAGCAGATTAAGCAGATTGAGGATGTTCAGCGACGGTTGCTGCTGGGTCTGCGGCGGTTCAAGGTGCTCAATTTCTGGCCGCGGGTGAGCAAGCTCGTGCTCCGGAAGCGGTGGAAGGAGTTCTACGAGCTCTGCGAATATCGGAATCACGTCCTCATCCCACTCATCAGAGCTCGATCCATGGCCAAGCGATAGCAACTGAACAAAGTCAAGGAGGACGGGAATGACGGCGACAGGATCGTGTCGTACGTGGACACCCTCCTGGACCTGGAGCTGCCAGAGGAGAAGAGGAAGCTGGAGGAGGACGAA